ATGATGCGAGGCAACCCTTGAAAATGTTGCCCGTGACTCTGAATATATTGTAGAAACCGTAATGAAACCGGGTATTGACGCTTGTGATGCTCAATACAAAAGGTCCAAGGAGAGAAGCTGCCGTCCTCCAGTGGTACTGGTGACTGACGAGATCGCGAACTTTGCAGGGAATGCCACCGACACGTAGATTGGCACAGCGCGCCGGAAGCCGCACAAACCTATGAATTCTCAAAAGCAACATCTGGACAGCCAGAAGACTTTCACAAAAGCCATTAAGATTAGTAGTGTCGTTGCTGGAGAGAGCTTAGGAGGAGAGTGGATGCTGACCCCTGGGACGCCCGTATAAGTGGAACGGCCAGACTCAGGGGATTTCAGGCGACCACCCACTTGCCCGGTTTTCTTGGAAAAGTTGTAGCTACTGTTTCCTCGCCAGTTAATAGTTAAACCGAGAAGATTGTCTGAAGATCTAAGCGAGGTTCCGGCAGTCACTTGATGAACCTTTCCAGAGCTATGCGCAAGGTCAAGATTGCATAAGCCCCGGGTTAGATGAGAGCCCAAATGATAGCATTAAGACCAGCTATTAAGACTCGGCCGCGATCTATTCTTGCACGCATATATATAATGCCATGCATACGAGAGGGGAATTTCCCCCACGTCGATGGAAGAGCAACTACCTCTGTCAGGGGATCCCACTGGGCAGCTATCGCGCAATATGCTTACTGACACACCAGGCAAAGTGTTGAGCGATTATCTGCACATCGTATTGAGTCATTTACAGAGGGCCTCAAGATTGTTCTGATAATAGTACGGCTTAGAAAAAGCCCGAGATCCACGTAGATGCAATTAATAGTCATCCGACATCGCACACGGAAAGCCTTGAAGCAAACGATGGAAAGGCGGTCCTATGTAAATAGTTGTGCTATATGACCCCAGCGTGAAAAACGCCTTTTAACCTGCTAGTGGAGCCCATTCTTTCTGCGCTACAAACCTCTTGGAGTTCCAAGTAATCTCGAACATTGGTAAAGAGTTACTTTAAGCGAGAATCCTCCTATATGAAACTGGTCATGGAGTACAATTTCTAATACGGTACACAGGGCGGTGTCCACAAGCTCGTACTTGTCCGATTTGTTTGAACATTATGTATAACGCCGTGTTGAAACTCGAGTTGCCGAAGGCCGCAAGAAAAACGATTGATTCGCGTTGACGATGTTGCCAAGTCGTTTCGGCATAATACATCAAACAGTCACGCAGATTGCCACGAGGTGTGCGGAGATGCCGCGATGCTTACTCGATAGGGCTACAGATGGCCGCCCATAAAACAGAGGCTGTGCTGTGACGCAGAAAAGGTGAGAGAGGGAGTATTACTCTTAATGTAGGAGCTGCAAAATATACCTCCGCAGGCTGTCACTGAGTATTTGGAGTCCATATTGACGCGGAGACTGCGCCTTGACAGCACCCTGCGCAATGTCCGAAAAGCTCTCGTATGCGCATCCGCATTGGCACGCATTATGCCTAATGTAGGGGTCCTGCAAGAAGCCGGGGCTGCTGACTAGCGTAGTAAATTCCATTCTTCTCTACGCAGCCCCTATTTGCTGATTCCATGGCATTCAGTCATACGCCCGTGCTAAGTCCGTGCATGAGCCGCCTTGCGGGCTTGCTCGAGGTTCGCACCGTATCTTATGATGCGCATGTGTGTGTAGCAGATATGCCTCCGATCAACCTCATTGCGCAGGAGAGAGCTAGACTCCTATTTGGCAACGGGAGGGGGTTCAAACTGGAATACATAACGAAAGAAAGAGAGGGGGTGACAATGACCAATGAAAACGACGATGAGCAGCAATCATCAACTGGGCGATGACATTTTCGGTCATTCCGACATTCATGACGTGGATCCAAAGGAAACATGGAGAATTAGATTTTTATCAAAACTCAATGCTGAAGGCATGGTGTTAACCGAGAATATCAGCCTCAGATTCCGTTGGACATAGCTCCTCATGCCCAAGGTTGTTTCCCGTGATGAGATTGTAGAACACATCTCTTTCATTTTCCACGCTTCGCAGTGGAAAGGGAAAACTCACCAGACTCCTCCAAGAGGAAGTACCCCTAGACCCATCGTAACTAGATGCTGCTGAACAAGAGTATTGAGCGGTAGCCAATCCGGAAAGTCCTGAAGACCTTCCGCTCCGAGAGCAGTTACGAATAAGTCTCCCTATATTTCGGTGAATGCTAAAAAGGCCCATCCTTCCTTCTTCATGCAATGCCTGACGCGGTTCCGCGGGAAGAATAGGAGGAAAGAGGGTTTAGTGGTAGCATAGGCTACTATGAATCCCACACGCTGCGGTTGCGGCCCCGCTGTTCTGACATTTTCCCACTGCCCACGTAAAAACCCCCCACACACTATATATATATATATATATATATATATATATATATATATATATATATATATATCCAATTTTGAAGTTTTATTTATTATTCAATTTTCGAAAAATAGGGAATGTCAAAGAAAATTAAACCTGCACCACTCTCTTAGTCCTCCTTTGCACTATTCAATAAGAAAAAATCAAAAAATTTTAAGCAATTTTTTTGAAAATGCCTTAGAGACTTCAGGCAAAGTACCCTCCAAAATTAAAATTTCGGTTTCAAATTCCAGTGTCCGCGACATCAGCTACAACGATTAGGGAATATCAATTTTGAAGAAAATCGACTGAACTGTTTATGCGCTAGCGTTGTGCGGACATAAGAACAGACGTTTTGTCGTAATTCGATTTTTCGCTATTACGGATCCGCAAAACATGGATTCTGGCTTCTCCACGTGTTAGAGGATTTTTTTCTATATTTAGCAACAGGATTTATCTACTATTTCCTTACCATGACGCGGTAATAAGAGTTTTTTGAGGAAAATTCGCAGTTTTCCGGCGCACGATTACAATACTTTCTCTTCTTACGTTAGTAATAGCGAAAAAGTTAAAATACTCATTTTCGAAAAATTCAACATGATTTTATTTGAAGATCAGCTTTGATTACCATATTCAATTGAGAAAGAAAGTTGTATCTTCATAATTGTACAAATTGTATGAAGACCAGTACATTTTTTTTTTTCAATTTTCGAAAAATTTCAACCAACATCAGATCTGCGCTATTCTCATAAACGTCCTTCAGACTATCCAACAAAATTTAATCAAAATCGTTGGCGCCATTTTTTTTTTGTTTTTTTATTTGTTTTGTTTTTTTATTTTTTTTGAAAAAATCTGACACTGTCCCAGTGGCTTTATGTAGTACCCCGACCCCAAATTAAAATATCGGTTTCAAATTCCAGGGGCTGCGACATTACCTACATCGATCAGGAAATATCAAATTTGGAGAAAATCGGGTTGAATAGTTCAACCGCTAGCGTTGTTCACAGACGGACAGATGTTTCGCCGGCAATCGATTTTTCGGTGTCAAGGCCCCACAAAACAAAGATTCTGGCTACGTCTCGTGTTAGAGGGCTTTTTAAAAATAAATTTAGCAACTGGATTTATCAACTTTTTCGCTACCAGGGCCCTGGAATAACGAGTTTTTCTGCCGAAAATAAGCGGTGTTTTTCCCCCTCCTTTTTCCTTCTCTCCACAGTATTCCATAACGTTCTCTTCTAAAGCGAGGCCGTTTTAACCGCTTTGGGGGCCATTGGATCTACGTTAATTTGGAGACCCCCTATACTTCTTTCCACCGAATTTCATCCCACTCCCGAATTTAAAGCCGTTTTGTTAAAAAAAATACTAAACTTCTCGTCACCGAGAGACCTTCTCGCATCAACCAGCAACATTCCATATCACAAATATATCCAATGATGAGCGACACATCACCCCGTTGTGCCAATGTTTTGCCCACTGTTTATTCATACATCACTTTTTTTATACGGGGGCCCTGGGTCCAGACCTTTCGGACTCGTGCGTTAACACGAACCTGCTCTTACGAAGTGCCTTCTTCAGCGAGAGGAAATAAAAAGAAGGTCGATTTAGAGAGCAGCGAGTGCGTCGCATTTCGTTAAACAGAGGGGAGGAAGTGCCACAGTTTTTTTAAGGAATATATAGCTAGCGCATTATTGGATCGAGAACACCCCTGTCAATGCTATCTGAAGTTCATTCTGCGGAATCAGAATAAGGGCTGCTAAAGCAAGGAGATGGCCGAGTCTTCGTGATTCCAGCAGCACAGCCTCCGAGGCAGTTATTACTGTCTGTTTTTCGAAAGAACCTCCAAGACATTTACCGTTGACTTATTTCGTGACAGCCTGGAGGTGACTTAACTCGTACCACTTTTCGTGAGGGCCTCGAAGACACTACCTTCTTGAGAGCATCGGCGGCTTCTTTCTTGGGTCTCGGCATTATTTCGATGCCGGACAGCAGTCCCTGAGTAGAGAACACGCTCGAAGTTTAACATAAACGCACGGACGCCCGTTCTACCATCGCCAGGTAAAGCGAGCGGAAAACCGAAACGATGGCGCGACTGGGCCGGCGCGCAGCGGTTGCTTCGCTCGCGTTCCAGGACGCCGGGCGACGCCGGGCGTCGTAAACCTCTGTAATCACTCATTTCAGTTGATGCCCATTTTCGTTAAATGTACAATTAATGAATAGTAAATGATTTTGAAGCAGGTTAGATCTGATTTGAAAATGACTTTAAAACAACATTATTACTTGTCAGTCATTCTTCCCAACATGGAAAGACACTTAGCTAAATTAACAATGTTTTAAATCAACTTAGAGATGAAACTTATACTGCAGTTTGGAATCATGATTATCATTTTATGTGTGCAAATTTCAAATTTTTGTTTGATCCCCAAGCAGAAATATGACAATTGAAATTTGAAAAAATTCCAAAATTTCAATTTGGAGGAGAGTAAGTTTAAAGTGGTACAGTACTTCCCAAATTATTTTACATACAAGAAACTACACTGTAGACGGTTGTAAACTACACTTGTAAAGTAACTACACTATAATGTGTAAAAGCACAGAAAAAGTTACACTAAGACTATTCTTTCTTTGAAAAATTATTCTCAGAACAACAAAATTTGTTCATTCGCATTCAATAGATTTGGTTGCAAATATTACATAATTAAAAACCATTGAGGTGGGTAAATACCACTTAGATCTGTAGGCCAGAGTTTACTGAATCCATTGCATTTTAGTTTACAAACTTACAACCCAAAGCAGAGTAATTCACAAAAACAAAATGCCACACAGCCTTAAAAAAAAAAAAATAGCCACCCTTCGCCACAATTTAGAATAAACATTTTTAAAAACAAGTTTTGAATAACCAAAGCAAAGAGGCATTTGCATACTAAGTATGATTTTTTCTGAATTGGTTGAGTGACCTGAACTGGACCGCTTACAAGAGATTGACCCACGCAGATTGTCTCAGTTTTCCACATATACTAGTTCAACATGTACTTCAAATAGTTCACCTTTTTCACTGCATCCAAATTAGTAACACGTTCAAATACAGGTTCTCCAAACATAAAAATTTCCCAAAGTGTAGTGCCAAAGGCCCAAACATCAGCTGCCACTACACTACGAGCCACTTCGAGATTTAAATAGCATTCCGGAGGAATCCAGTGCATACTATTAAAAAATAAACAAATTTTGTGATTTGTACTAACATGAACACCAACAATTACAACAGGAAGAATAATACTAAAATTGTTTTAGACAGTATCATCAATATACACACTTTTCTCATGTTAACTTTTTTCATTAAATAATATAATAATCATAAAGTGTTAACAATAATACTATTTTTATAATGTATCATGTTATTGAAAGCTTAATGAAATATTAAGTGGATTTATTGAAATTTTCTAATATCTCCAGACACATGTCATAAAAAGATTTTAGTCTTTCAACAAGTCAAAAATGGAATAGTTGACATGAATACTACTCACTCAAAAGGAGTATATTGGTGTAATCCAGGATCTGCCAAACGAACAACAAAAGAATTTTCACTATAGGATGCCACAAGGAGTTTATGACATCGAATGTATCCATGCACAAGACCCATTTCCTCCTGAAAAATAATAATCATAAATTATTTTATTCATTAAAAACAAGAGGTGTAACAGAATAGCACACACTTTCTCATACTAGTAATTTTTCTAATACTTTTTCTAGGCCAGCTTTTCCCCATCCTCCTCCTAACTGCTGCCTAGACATTTTTTTCACATATTCTTAATTTTATAGACTCCTAATGGCAGAATCAAAAAATATCTCTATAAAAATTATATAAGGGTAAAACACGGTCCTACAAGCAAGTCTTCATTAAAAATTTGGAACCATTATTGAAAACATGTCATTTGAGCATTTCTGAAAATGTGCAAATTGAGCTCATTTTCACAGAAAAGTTTTAAGTCTTAGAAAAACTTGTTAAGAAATCATTTGACGAACTTGAATTTAAAAGTTGAATAGCGCATAAAAAACGCCCAAATAATATCAAATATTTTTTAAAAATTGCATTAGTGTAATTCTTGAAAAATCAAAAGAAAACATCAAAGTCGTGTTTATTTCATGATATTCACAGCACTTTGCAGTATCCATACAAAAATTTAAAGAAAAATTTGGGCCAATTTTTAAGAAATTCTTCTTCTTAATATTGCTCCTTTTCCCCTCAAAATTGTGTTAAAATCTCCATTCCAAAAATTTACATGACATTAACTAAATAGCTAATTGTGGTGAACAAATTTCATTGGCAGAAAATACCTCTATTTTCATGTTGTAGTTGTAGGAAGACACCAAAAAATTTGCACATTTGCAATTTTCCAAAATTTTTAGAATGCAACAAAAATTAAACTTAAGCCCATAAGCGTGTTTTTCTCTATTTAATCAAAAAATTAAAGAAACTATGGTACTACAGAAAGGCACAGATTTTCTCATACTAGTTAGTTTACTAATTTCTTTGGTTTGGGCTAGCTTCCAAATGCAAGTGTTAATACATTACCTGCAATATTTAATGTGTGTTTTTGAATAAACTTTTTTACACAAATTTGGAAAATAGCATTAATATTGCCTATACAAAAAACTAATACTAATTGTTCTAATTATGAAAATTATCTTCCCATAAGTTTACATTCTAATTTTTCAAAAATGTTTGAGACATTAATTTTAATTGGACTAAATGAATTTAATACAAATACTAAAATTATACCCAACAGTCTCTTGGTTTCAAATATTATAAGCTGCTTGGTTTATTCATAATGGCCAAATTTTAAAAGAACTAGTTGTAGATTCAATAAGTATGTATATTTCAAAATTATCAAATCATTTTTATTCTTCTCTTCTATTTTCTCCAGCAACTAACATATTTAAATTAGGCAAATCATGTAATAATATTTCCCGCATGAAGACTCGATATTCAAACGATCTTTTCCAACATCCTTATTTAGCAGTACGAAATTCAAAATTAAAGAAAAATATCCAATTAATTGTAAATAAGTTATTACGTAGGACATTTCTTGGGCAACCTAAATAATTATACATCAATGTCATTAGTTATTATTTTAATTAAGACGGCAAAATGAACCACAGGGGCAAATGGATATGGAAGGCACAAGGAACCAACGGGACATTGGGAAAATGGACGAAATGGGACATAACGGACATATTAATCCAATTATCAACAGTTAAAAAATCCAAACTGGAGAGTCCACTAAAATATTTTTAACCGCCATAACTATGGATGCGCCGTTAAAGAATTGAATGGTTGGTTGCTAAGGAGCTCAGCATTTGTTTGCCGTAGTAAATAACAACATATCTGTTCAAAAACTATTCTGAAAATTTCAAGGTCATAGAGAAAGTAGTTTTCTACTCACGCATAATGGCTATTATTCACTCGTAGCAATTTCGACACTCGCTCCTAAGTCTTGTGTCGTACACATCAACTCGTGAATAACAACCATTAGGCGTTCGTTCAATAATATACTATTACAATATTTCTCAAATAAAATAAAAATTTAATCAATTATAACTCCACAAGTGAGGAATGGTAAAGTTGTAGGATAACAAGATAAACTGAATAATTAAGTACATGGATAACTTTTGTTTCTACTTTCTCATAAACATATATACGAAGTAATACGTATACTACCTAGTATAGAGAAAGTTATGTATTGCTGCCAAAAATCTATTTAGAGATTTCAAAGAAAATATGTTTTGGATCCTCCTGATTTTTTAAATTACATAAGAGCTCTATTTAATATATAGAACTGTTTTTCAGTTTTCATATTGTGGTTTTAAGAAAGTATATACTTATGTTGCTATGATATATGAACATTAATGTATGTGTATGCTTCTGTTTCTGGTATGTAAATATTTCGCTGTCTCCAGAAGCAGATCAATCCGATCAATAGGGGGGGGCTATCTAGGGACGGATAAATATTGTATACTACTTTGTAGTGTATATATGCTACTATACAATATTAATTTTTAAATAATTACAAAATTCTAACATAAATAAACATTTAAATGTACTTTGCCAAATAAAAGAAGATAACAAACAAAAAATTGTAAGTCTTTTTGTGGGGGTGGGGGAGCATGGCCCCTGTATCCACCACCGGGCCTATCACAGATTTTTACTAAAAAATAACCAAATTTGTTATTACATTGTACATTTTTGTAGTGTTCATTATGATACTATACAATATTATTTTTTTAATAATTACATAATGCTGATAAAAGTAAATATTTAAATAAAATTTTGGCAAATAAAAAAGATAAACATTTTCTCTTGACCTTTAGGGGGGGAGGCACATGCCACCCCTTCATCCACCACAGTATTTTAAGTACATTCTTAATTTTTTTCATTTTCTTTTAAATGAAGACTTACAACCAAACACATCCGAAGTCTTTTCATAATTAATGAGTTCAAACTGAAATTAAACAGTTATAGATGCCTCCAGAAAACTTTACTTAATAATTTACTTTATTTTAGTAATGATTATTTAAATTATCACAGAACTATTTGAACACTTAATTATGTATATAATATTAGTAATGATAATTCAGAAACAATCTTTATTTAAATAATTGATTATTTACTTGGGACATACATCCTACATAGTTTTAGAAAAGTATTTAAGTATACCTTTTCTCTTCGGGATCTTTTTCCAGGTGACCCCTGTTTATGGATAAAATTGCTAATGGAACCAACACTAATCTGTGTGTGTATTTGTGTGTGTGTGAGTTCAGTGTCAGAGTGAGTGAGTGAGTGAGTGAGTGAGTGAGTGAGAGTGAATGAGTGAGTGAATGAATGAGTGAGTGAGTGAGTGCGTGTGTATATTTTTTATCATGCGCATGAAATGGCTTCACGCCCCTGCCTGTACTTCAGAAATTTCACAAAAACTCTGATCTATAAATAACTTACTGCAACCTCTCGCAAGAGCCCCTAGATACTGTGAACATAGTACTTTTTCAAAATTCAAATCCATAATGTCTGTATTCCAGATAATCTCATTGTTGTAAGAGAGATTGGGAGCACAAAGACTGCTAAAACGCATTGTTCTTTCTGCATCTCATCTTTAAAAACTGTTTGAATTTCATACATTAGTTTTTCAAAAAAAGTTAAAATCATATGGAATAATAAAATAACGAATGCTATTATAAACAAAGTTTTTGATATGTCAGTTACATATTGCTTTTCCACTGTCAAATAAATGTGAAAATTTGAAGTAAAAACTACAATCTTCATTACACTCTTTCATATATAATAAAAAGACATTGAATTTCCAAATAAATGAATGCTTTTGTATAAGGTTACTACAGCTCTCAAACTTTGTAAATAGATTTCTTAAGGCATGCTCATTTCAAAAATTAATACTTTGTATGTTTGCATTTTTTGCTAGTTTTGGGGCAAAAATCAGGCATAAGGCCCGTTTGTATGTTTTTCTGTAAAATATTGTGTACTTTCTCATTTACATGTTGAGTACCTTTTATTAGAATTACTGTAGAAATTATGTTAACATTAAACATTATTGTCCTAGGCAAAAATAGCTCGTTCTTAGAATCTGACATTGGTGAGAAGTCAATGTCTTTATAGCCTCTCATATTGTGAAGCTGCACATTTTAGAAGTCTTCAATAAATTCTCTGGATTTGGAAGAAACATAACTAAGATCTGCTGCTTTTTGTAAAGTGAAATATACTGTCAAAACATGTCCTTTGTGTTCACAGTCCATAGTAACTGAACAATACGAATCCATATTGCAGCAGGAAATAAAAGCCTAGTACCCATCAGTCTGCCAGGTTAGAGAACTCGAAAAAACTTATTCTACCCTCCTTGGACTAGCCACAGAATCCCACAAAGAATATTTACAGAAACATTTCAGAGTGGAGTTAATTGTGTTCTGGCTTTGTACGTGTGACCTAGTGGAATAGCAAATTTTGTTTCCCACATCTATTATTTCATTGTTTCATACATTACATTGTTACATACATACATTGTTGTTGTTGTTGGGTTGTGTTTTTTTTTTGTTTGTTTTTGTTTTTTATGGTCAAGATTGATTTTGTTTTGTAGAGACCCTATGTAGAGGCAAAGTATAAACTCACAAAACATGAACTTTTTTTCAACTGCATAAAAATTATAAATGTTTGAAAAAGTTTCTAATTTTATACTGAGAAAAAATCAAAGAATAGCAGTATATTACATAGGGCAGTGAAGGCAGAAGCATTACTAAGTGATACCTTTGTTTCACTGGTTATATTTTCATGCGAGTACTTTTTTTCATGGTAACAAGTAAATTGTCTTGTTGGGAACAGTGTTTTTTAATAGACATTAAAATTGACCTCCTTCACATTCCAATAGCAATGCATGAAATCAGCATTTTTTTCATACAGTTGCAGAATTTTTTTTTCTTTCTCTAAACAGACATGAATTTGAAAAAGAAGAAAATTTTGAAAAACAATATATTGCTAAAAAAGGCAGTAAAACAGAACATTAATAATATGTTTTAATTTGATAGTGCATATTTTATTTTTACCTTTACTTGTGTATGTGATAGCTTATGTTTATATGCATTTTTTCAGACTTAACAGAGCAAGAAACTCCTCTCTTGAACTGAAACGTAGGTACAGTTCAAGAATACCTTACCAAATGCCACAATGCTGTGGCTAAGTATGTGCCAGCTTCTATTAAATCCACTGTCTTAATTTCATGATGATGATGTTGCAGATGATGGTCCAAAGGGCCCAAGGAAAGATATTCACTGACCATAGCAAATGGACTTGCTAAAGTAATGCCATACAGCCTCACAATAGCACTAGTTTGCAGGAAAGCCCATCTTCCACACAAGTCCATGAAATCCTATCAAATAAAATACAGTTCCTTCATTAAATTCTTAATTTCAAATGTTCAATTTTTGTTTGTAATACTTAATTCTAATTTTTACCCAAAATTTATTTAATTTTAAATTCACTCTTTAAATACCAATATGGGTCCTGTTCCATTATACTTTGTACATCATCATTTGCAACCGAGGATTCAAATCTAATTCACTTTGTCTTCTACGACAGACATCTAATAACAATGAATTATCACTTTTGATTTTGTTTAGGAAAAAATATATTATATTTTACTGTCATAAATTCTTCATCAACATTAACAAAAGAATGATATCTACACTAACAGCAAATGCAAAGATTTACAGATAAGAGCATAGGCTTCCACGACCGGAGGCAGGAGCTACTTGGCTGTCTGCATTTCCGTCTTTGCAGGTCACAGAATGGCAGCCGAAACGTTGGTGCCTGTGCCTAGGACCCGTCTCTAAGACAGCAAAGTTGCAAAAGATTTTCGGCATTTTAAATAATAGTATTTTTATGACCATTTTTAGAAATCTTAAATGTTACAGTCAAACCTGTACATAACAAACCTAACTGTTCCTTCAAAAAAACTTCTAACTTGGCAGGTTTTCGTATTATAAAGAGTTGCCAAAAATTTGCCATTTATTTTAAGTCAAGTATTTTTAATTTTATTTTGGGAATAAAATAATGAAAACATAAAAATTTATCAATAATAACATTGCTGGAAATAAAGAAAATAAACACCAGCACACAGGGGAAATATAAGATAAGTATTTATTCTACATTTTACACATAGATTTAGTGAATGCTTAATATTTATAAAATTAAACCTTTAAAAATCTTTCTCATTCTAAATACCATGCCACTAATTTCAACATTGCACATCACCACCTCACCGAAAACCATTATCTTTTACAATTTATCCACAAGAAATTCACTAAACATTTGTCTTATCATAAAAATCAATCAAGAAACAAGTGGTAATCCATCCTTGGATTTGTCAAGTGAAACTAAACCAGTCAAAGTCACACTATCATCTTACCTTAGTCCCCAAAATGAATTATTACCTTTGGAAAAGAATTTCTGGAAAAAAATTTGACATCAGAATTAAGAATAAGTTGCCTCTCAAACAAAATCTGATTAAAAATATCAAAGACGAAATCCCATTAATTGATAAACAAAATGTTGTCTTTTGCCTAAAATGTTAAGATTGTTCTGTCTCCTACATGGGACAAAGAAAAAGTTATTTCAAGCAAAGAATTAAAGAACATGCTAATAATTAAGGAGACTGGCACAAAATTGAACTCTATTTTATGACATCGCCTTGATTTTGCCAATTCCTTTAATTTTGACAGCTGCATTTTGGATAAGGAATCTAGAAAATATTTGAAGTCAATCTCTCAAACTTTACAATTAAATACACATGAGCCAATCCTTTTACAGACATGTATGACAATGTTCTTTCAAAATTGAAGTTGAATAAAATTTATAGATTTTATGTTCGATTCTGTTTTGCTTTTACACTTCAATTGGTGTAAATATGTTTAGATCTGTTCTTTTCTCCCATCCACCTCTTGGTTTTTACTGGTTTTCTTTGTTTATATTCAATACAATGACGTGTATTTTTTACTTTGACCAGCCCAGTCTTTCCTCTCTCTCCATACAGTAAGGATGGTAGTGGGAATGTGTCCAGTAATACATTAGGATATCATTTGATTAAAAAATATTATATACAAAATAATGTTTTCATGTTTTTACAATAAGATGCTTCCTTAAAGAGGTTCTGGCAAGTTCTCTCCTATACAATTTTTATTTTGCATATTAGTAACATTTTCATTTAAACTAGACCTTTAAAATTGTCATTCTCAGAATTTTGTTGTTTAAAAAAAAATTTGTGGCCAATATCTACAAAACAGGTGGACATTTTTAATTTTAGATGAAAATGTAAACACCTGATGTGGGTAATCTAATGCTAAATGTATTGAAAATAAAGACTTTTTATAAATTACCTTTGATTTCTTAAAAACATGGATATTTGTTGTTGTTTTTTTATTGTGTATTTCAACAGACTTGCACTTCATTTTTAAGATTTATCTATGTTTAAAATCTTATTTAATCCCCATAGTTACAATAAGATAGGTTGTCGAGTTTTACTGATGACATTGGCAAGTACACGGTTTTTTACCCCTTGCAGCAGTTCCAACAGTGTTGTCTCGAGAAGCAGCAAATTTTTCTATATCATTTAGATGCAATACCACACTTTTGTCACTTGATATTTTTTAACTCTCAGGGAACGTCTTTTTGACATACTCGCACACAGCTTTTCTACATAGCAGCATTCACTTCATTGTAAGGTCCATATTTCGTCAACTCTACGTCTGCTAAGCAGCATGGCAAGATATCTTCCAGGAATTTCATTGTCAACTCAAGGAAATGTGAGAATGCTTTTGAGAACTGAACAGGGTGCAGACGACAGTGATGATCAACATTCAGGATTTAGAGGTACAGCGGGGAAGTCATGCTTGTTGGAACCTTCAAAATCACACCAAAGCTTGAGAAACTCGCCGCAAAACAGTCACCAAGTTCACCAAGGACTCCCCAATTGCAGGTATCAGAAGAAAACTTGTCATTCACTCTACTGTCTCGGGTCGTGTCCTTTCACACACTGCCATTCCAAAGAAAAGGCTGAAAATTTAAATATAAATTTCCTTCTTAGCCAGGTAAAAATAACTTCATGTTCTCAAAAAAACATACTTTCTGGGTTAGACATGTTTCCCGCTGTTACAGGTCATTTTCACCTATAAAATCATTCTGTTCCAAAATTTTTGTCCAAGATGGCAGGTTTCCATCTTCCGGCAGGATTTACTGTATGTGTTAATTAAATCTTTTAAATAACACCAAAATAAACTATTGAAAATAAAGACAAAATGCTATAATGTGTTCAAAACAGAACACTAAGAGTTAACAGTAATTTTAAGAATTAACCTATTTCATCTTCAAACAAATCTCAGTATCTCTTAGAGCAGGGGCATAAAGCCATTTGTTAATCTGGCTGTATATTTTATTTATTTTCTCAGAAACTATTAAACTTAGAGCTGCAAAATTGATGGAGCAGCTTTGTGGAAATGTTTTAAGTAAAGGAAAGCAGATTAATTCATTCTGGATTACATTTGTAATTTTCACAAAATTTAAAGTACATTAAAAGATTTTACCCAATTTTAAGCACAAAGCCTTAAATAAGAAACCCGCTACACTCATTTTAATAGCATATATTCCAGAGTTGTCCAACTGGCGACCCAAGATGCTAATAATTACGGCCCTGGAAAGATTACTTGCAAAAGAGAAAAACCTTTTCATCTTTTTGTGTCGACCGAGAAAACTGTGCACCTGGCATATGCACTCTGCTGTGGTCAACACCCCTAATGTAAAAATAGGTTATGTTTAGATTTAAGGATTTTTCTCTTATAAATTCATAAATTTAAAACCATCCCATTACATTATGTTTAGTAACGGGGTGATATCACGCATGGTTATACCCTCACCAACCACCCCTCACTACATTTCAGACCAACCACACTATGTACCCAGATCAACAATACTGAAGTGGATCAGACAAGTAATGAAAATACAATGGCCTACAACTAAATATAATGTTTTATTTACGCCTCATTTTCAATAGCCTAGAATACTTTGTGTAGGAATCATATAACAATATACTCAAAAATGCTGCCAAGTGGTACGGGTGACATTTGACTTTAATATTTAGTTTTGTTCTATAGCACCATCTAGTGGAGATACAATAAACTAACAGCACATAAACCTTTTGAGTGAAAAAACATGTAGGTGTGCCCACTTCAATGGAGATTGGTCACATGGTGTCGGAGTTAACCGCTCTTATATAATATAATAATTATAATAATAACAACAATTATATATAATAATAATAATAATAATAACAACAACAATAATAATAATAATAATAACAACAACAATAATAATAATAATAATAACAACATATAACCTTTAAATGTTTCTCACGATATTCTGGTTTCAAGATCTTCATTGCAACTTCTAGTTTCTTTCCTGGACCCATTCTCCAAAGTGTGCGGTACACAACAGATTTTCCACCACGACTTTCTTTCTTGTGATCTGTCAAAAAAAATAAAAAAATTATGTTGTCCAATTGACCGTACATGCCATAAATATACTTACTTTTATAAACTTGTAAATTCCTGATGTCAATGCATACAGGAGTTCCTGATGGAGTTGACGATCCCAGGCCAGAAAAGAAACTAGAATCTTTTGCACCTGTATCAGGCTGGCACAATAGTAGAGATGAACGATCTATAAACACATGCAAGTAAAATGTACTTGCCTTCAGAAAGCAACAAGTCAGAGGCAACACATTTGTCAAAACAAACCATATTCTGAAGGAGGTAAACATTCTTGCAAATATATGCCCCCCTTCTCTTCACGATATGCAGCTAACAACTGAGACAAACTATCGTAATAGCATCCATCAGCACTGAATAAAAACTGAGTCCCAACTTTATCTATTTTCAAAGTCTTGGGTTTGGAGCTGAAATGAGGATATCTCTGGTAAAATCTCACAAGAAAACTTGAATTAAATATATAAAAGAGCATGCATATAAAATGATCATACCTTCCTTTAGTGCATACATCCAAGAATAAAACATTATATTTACTTTCGCTCTCTCGTATTATAAAACATCCACATTTATTGTTTCTTTTTTCTTCCAATTTGGCATAAGAAAATTCTCCACTAAAGACAGGTATTAAAGAAAAGGTCACACTTGATGAATACAAAATATTGTATACATAAGAAACATACAGTGGCGATCAATAAAAGACAGCCACCGCTAGCACATCCTCTAATAACAAAAGTTAACCATAATAGTTTTCTTACACATGTCTCGGCCAGAGTTAATAATCAGTAACTCGAATCTAACCTTAGCTATCAACACAAGACAGAAGTTGTTAAACTACATTTCCAGCTAGGCACAGAGGCACAGTAGAATCAGGAATCAAAGGTAGGAATTTCATCAGTCACTGTAAACATTTATGATATAATAGAAGTTTTTTGACTTATTGAAATAATATTAATGACTAATATGAAAATAATTTTGGCCTGAAGGCCATGTAAATGTTTATTTATCTGTTACCATATTGAGTTTTACATAACATATATGGTATTTATTTATAGATAAAGGTTATTTACAAAACAAATACCTTAATTTCTTTATCCAAGCATTATATCAGCCATGGCCATATCCTAGCAAACCTGACTATTTTATTGACTGCCTCTGTATCTTTCCAAATAAAATACATCAATAAATATGTCATATTAGAACATAAAAAACATACCCAACTGGACCATGGCATTTCAATTCGTGCAATTTCTGAACTGATGGAGAACGTACATCCTTGCATAAATTAAATGTCCACTTAACCATTAATCGATAATATCCATCAAGCAAACTCACAAATGAGAACATTAAAGGTATAGAACGAAATTTGAAATAGGTAGGAATACCATTTTTTCTGGAAATTTCTACAGTTCCATCATTTCTTACAGATATGTAAATTAATTCTTCAATAGTACACAAATGCAGCCACTGCAAGAAAATGAACAAATACATCAATCTGACTGAACAATATAAATATTGTTAAAATCATATTGTATTAACACTACCTGTTTTTTTCCATCATAACACAATCTTATTCCAGGTTCTTCCTTGTGAAATGGGTTCACATTCACAAATACTGATCGTACTGAACCACCTTCATCAGACAGTACTTTGAAATCTTCACTCAAATAATTTGGAGCCATCTCCTCGAATTGTTTCAAATATTCACCCTTCACATACCATGCATCATGACTACCACCTTTTTTAATTCTTCCTAAAGTCTCATGAATAGGCTTTTTAATAAAAAACAGATGATGCCGGATTACATCTTTTGGTATATATTTTTTGTAATCATTCTCTACAATGTCTCTTTCTACACCTTCTTCCAACATTACACGATACATATCAGCTACACCCAAACCAACTAATTCTGACTTGTACTTTTCAGAACTTATATCAGGAATCTGATTATTCATTACATCCCCCCGGGCTTGATGAAAATAGTAATTATATGCTTTAATGTCAGAATGTTTTAAACGACTCAAGCTTGGGACCTTATATCGAAGTCGAAAGTCATATGATGCATTTATATGAGCATCAAATAGTTTACAATTAGGACTCAGGTAAATATTAGATCCATGTAGTCGTAGGGCAAATAGATGTCGAGAAACAGGTCCTATCCCCAACTTTACGGCTATTTCTGTACAGACATCTTCTGCAGTTGAGTAAGGACGAATAGATATTTCTTTGATTCCATTGTCAACACTAACATGGACAAATATAACTCTAGTATTTTGTTCCATGATGGTGCTCACTATAAATATTCAGTTTTTGTTACAAAGAGCTGCAAAGCTGTCACGTTATTGTAGGAACTTGCAAATTTCGTACGTAACTGCATTATATTACAAAAATGCTCAATACGACATATAACACTCACTTGACAATTTTATTACGTCAATAAAAACTTCATCATCTTCTTAACATCGTTCTTCTGAAAATGATTCCATCAAAATTGATATAAAATGTACATGACTTTCTGCTACTCTTCAGAGAAAGAATATATAATTAAACTAAGACATTTTAATAACGAAAAATATATTTTTAATTCTTTACCATGCAAAAGCTTCCCCCGTTTAGGCCGCACTTAATACAAAGGCAACACAAGTTGGAAATTGACATTATTTCTTAATATTTGGACGTTACATTACACAAAATACCGTCCGCTGCACTTGCCTGGGGAATCGCGTGTTTTTATTTTTTCAATGATCACATCGACGGATGTTGCCAACTATTAAAAATACATGTTTGACATTTTCCTCACCGTTTTCGGGCATTTTCATTACCCAAAAAAATAATAAACGAAATATAATAAAATTAAATTTTGCTCTCATCGTCATCTCTTCGAAGTACATTTATATGGTTAGCAGCCATCTAAGAAAGGTATAATATACAAGTAACTAATAGGTGAAGTTCGGTGCGGGTCGGCGCCTGGATCTGCTCACTTGTTTATTTATGCTCAGCGACGATTGTTAGGTTGGGTCAGGCCAGTGAGCGTCAAGTATTATCATCACGTCGGATCACACGAAATCACTTGGATAGGATAGAATAGGGTAGAGTAGGGTAGGGCCAAAGACATTGGGCATTCCAAATAGCAAATCTTCCTATGGTGGAGCACCCTAACCTGACCCTCAAAATAACCTTTATAACCTGGATACTCTCTGACCTGGTCAGGTTTCGAACAAAAGCACCTGTGTGAAGAGAACCTGCTGGGTGCCGCTGGGTTAGGACAGCTTCGTAGTTTTGGGTAGTATGTGTCTAGTTAAACCTTGCGAATTCCTCACTTGCATCACGTGAAGATTATTGACTCTATAGTAAAACGCTTTATTTTCTTGTCCTTGTGCATTGGACAGAATTTAGTTCGAAAGCTTACCCCTTTCAACCCTACCACTTGTTACATAAAATTCGAACCAAGGCAACCGACAAATTTTAAGTGTGTTGAAGGAAGTCGTAGTGGTTTTGGAAAGGTAGAAATTAAACAAACATCAGGTAAAAAAATTATGTTAACATAAAAAATGACCACAGTGTGTATTGAATCTGTTAAACTCATCAGTTTATAGTGTTTGCTTAAGAATGGTTGAATTTTGTTTTAGATGATTTCCAATAAATTACTGGCTAAAATTGCTATCTACACTGGCGTATTTGGAACAAGTGGAAGTCTATACTTATTTTATAAAGTTCAAAATGGGCTGAAGAGTTCACCCTACATGATAGAGTCTATGCAATTACTTCAAGAACATAAGGGTGCAGTAGAGTATCTTGGCAAACCATTAAAGTATGGTTATCTAAACTTAAATTCAGAGCATAATTTTTGTGATGGCTACAAAGCTGAATTTGAAGTGCCTGTTAAAGGATCTGTCAACTCTGGTAGCCTGTACCTTAAAGCCAAAAGAGAAAGCCCACAACAGGAGTGGGATGTTTATCTTGTAGAATTTTCACCAGCTAATTCATCAAAGCGCCTTGTGGTGAAAAGGCTTGAGTGATATATTACAAATTTATGGAGGAATGTAGAGAGGAGGGGTTATTGCCCTTTTTATAAATTTAATTTATTTAATAAAATAATTGAATTACAAATTTTCTGATTCTGCACATCTCATGTAAATTGTTTCACCTATTTCACACCTTTGCTATGAGACTGTTTAAAAGAAAATGCTTGGACAAAATGTAGACTCATTACTAATGCACTTTAGTCATTTTTGGTTGAGTGGTAACCAATTTTTACATCACTGTTAAAAAAAAAGTTCTGTCTTGAGGTAAATAAAGGCAAATCAGATAAGCCAAACAACAAAATAAATATGATTTTAAAACTATTGATCTTCAACATTGTGGACATAATTCAAAAATTAAATATTTTACAGCAGTAGTTTTGAGCATTTTGTTAAATTGGCATGAAACAAAAAAATTTACAAACTTATTCTGCTTATAAATGTTCATTACCTTGTATTTAAACAGTAATTTAATTAGGTTGTATAATGAACTTTGGAGTGAAAGAGTTCCACAGGAGTTTCAATTGTTCTAGAATAAACAGTACCTCAATAGATCATGGGTTTTGAAACCGTAAGCTGAAGAAACGTCAACCTCTTGGTTAATTTCAAAATTTATTTTGCGATTCATCTTATTTTCTATTGATACAAAATGATGCTAGAATTAATAAGATAAAAGAGTAAATATCTTCTCTACTAACCATATAATTGCCATTTTATTTTTCTCTTTGTGCAAGCATTTCCCAACTGGTGGCCATTTCTCACATTACCTCTCTCATGCCAGTCATTCTCTTGTAAAACTTGATATGCCATTCCTTTCTTTTTCTTCTAATGAAACCACTTGCTAACCTTTCTGGGCCATCTCACATAATCAAAACTTAAACTAAAAAAAATAAATTATTGTCTTTAGTCTCCTGTATGATGACTGGTACCTAATTAAATTATGTGAAGAGAAAAATGGAGAATAATTTGCTCCTCAAATGTAAATATTTTTTATTAAATAGAATTCAGCCATGTAAATGCAAAAGCATTCCTTTCTATTTGTAAAGTATCAGTCACTTCTGAAATAATGATTGTAGCAGTCATCAATTCTTTTACTTTGACTACTACATACTTACATAGTAAAGAGAAAATATTGGCATGCTGCAGCAAAACATGGTGATTTTTCATCAAAAAAGTGAGGTTCTGATATGAAAACACTGGGTAAATCTTGTTTTGTATATGTAGTTAATTACTTCCCATTAACATGTGTAGTCAGAATCCATATTTTGTGGATCCTGACGATACACTGGAGGCAAAAAATACCTGCAGTCAATACTAGCGTCTAAAACTTTTAATTTTCTCCACAATTGATTCTTGTGGATCTATTGGGCAGAATTCGGGGTCCAGCAAAGTTCAAATGGATATTTTTATTTCGGGAATTTAATTTTTTTCCTGATAGAGAAAAGGAGGTTAAAAAAATGGCACAGGTCCCATTTTCATTTAACTAACTCTGAGAAATTTGTTCGTACTTCAATTTTGTAGATTAGGGATTTTTCCTTAATGAAAACTGTTCCTCAAAGAGAAATCTTTAAATAAGGTTCTGTTGGTTTTTTTTCCAGAAAAAGGAGTTTTAGATTTTCCCAAAAATTGCTTTAAAGTTTGTTTCTTTTAATTTTTCTCTTGAATTGATCAAATACACTTACAGATCTCATTTTTGGTAAACTCATAATTTTCAAAAGTTGCAAGTCACACAATGTCAGAAATTGTGTTGTAGCACCAGTAGTTCTTTTTATTTTTGCATCCACCTTATGATAAAACAATGCACTAACATAGCCTTAAATTGCTTGAAATCAGATCATTCACAGCAAGGCAATGTTACCATACTTATAAGTCACTATGCTCTATGTTCAAATAACTTATTGAAAACTTGAAGCTTAAGGTCATTTACATTAAATACTGCACTTTCTCAAGAAGTCATTTTCAAGGACTCAAATGAGTGGTTCAACTTTTGAAATTGGGGAGTGCAGTTGGCACATCAAAACTCTGCAGGAAAGTCTCAAAAACTGCCCCAAAAATCATCTTTCAATCTTCCTTCCTCAAAATTGTTAAGACTTAATTTTTAGCAATTTCATTTTCTACATTAAAAATTACTAAATTAAGATGGGAAAAAAGAAAAATTAATTTCAATCAAATATAGCATCTTCAAAATCAATATTACAATACGCTCATTTAAATAGTATTAATTTAATGTATTAGAAATGCTGCATTCTACCTTTGCTGTAGAATTTGAAGGTTTTCAGAAAAATATTTAAACATTGATGGGAGTTGGAATATTTAACACTGCAAAACCCTTTCAATTCTGAAACCAGGAAATAAATTTTATTCATTTTTCTGATGTTTAGTAAATATGAAAGTATGTAATTGGTGACATGCACACCATTACTTCAAATTTCCTATCAAAATGTTTTGAATTGAATGTTGCACATTTCAAGAAATGTAAGAGAAGTAATAAAGAGATGTGAGAAATTGTTGGAACATTTTAAGAGTATCAACATAACTACATGAACTGCATTCAATTGTAACGGTAGCACTTGAAATTTCATCCACATTGAAGCAACATGAATTCTATGATTCTTTGTTCCATCATATTCAAACATGCAGGCAACAATCAGAAAAAACCAGTAGTACTCCACAAATTTCTTATTTTTGTTGTTATATTGAATTAAAATTACACAGTTGCTTATTACATGAACATTAATTTCTCTGAATTAAACATTTTTACACAATCACACAAAGGTACAATGCTTCCAATTGGTTATCTTCCAAGTTCTTTGAGAAAAACATTGATGCTGAGAGGGAAATCTGACTGGTCATCCAGTGGCTGCCGGAAGAGTTGTGTGTGTTGCCATGCTGTTGATCCTTCACCTCCTCTCAGGTCTGCTGTCAATATTATACTTTCAGATCCACTTAATTCCATAGTCTCAAATGTTATGTGATCTACAACAAAATTAAGTATTAATCTACACTTAACAGAAAGTATCTGAAAATTTGAGTTTTCATTAATTTTTTTAAATTTGCTCCTTACCAACTAAACTAAAATTTAAGGAAATTTAGAATCCAAGCAAAACTTTAATATTTGATAGTGAATAACAAAAACTTATTCAGTAAACAAATTTCCTATCTATTTTGAACTGTGCAGTTACCTGCAGGTATAGGAACACAAACATTTCCACAAAGCTGCAGTCGTATTTTTCCAGAGTGAAACACAGTAGCTGAACAACGCACCTGGACTTTGTCAATGACGAATCCACTCTTTTGACAATCAATTTTCCAACTTAATAAAGCTTTGCTACTCCCTTCTGAAAAATATTTGAACTAATCAATTAATCTTGAAAATAGATGTCACAACAATCACTGACCAAAGCCAACTATTTGGCGAAATCATTTTTTCCCCATATCCTTGTTTCTAGAATAAACATACATAGCAAATAAATTATAAATTTAATTTCCAGTTGATCAAACATTTTTTTTAGTTCTTATGCTGCAACATTTTAACCTTTCATATTTTTCATCCATCTTCATCTTTCTGAAACCAACAGTAGTAGTGTAACAAGGGCCACTATAACAAAGAAAGACGATAATATAAAAATCATGTAAGTTGGGTTTTATAGTCTTAAATTTTACTCTTCACACCTATTTATGAAAAAAACTATTTACTTCAAACATAATAGGTATACTGCAAAACAGGCACTCAAAATACACCTTATTTCTTCTTAATACGTTTGGATAGAGAAGAAAGCCACAAAGTTTTATTCATTATCAAGATGTGAATATTTTAACATTTTTCTCTTTCTTCAAAATCAAGAATTCAGTTTTTTAAAGAAATAAGGTAAGGAACTGGAGTAATTTTCAACATATTCAAAAATATTGTACAGCGACTGTATTCATATTTAAAACCACTAACTTATTTGCAATTGGTACAAACCTTTTCTTGCCAGGTACACTTTTTTCCAATCCTTCTCTTCCTTTCTAGAGATGGACTCTGCTTCAAAAACACCTTGTTCCCAAAATTGCATTACTTCACCTCCTGCTGTAGGTCTGATATAGATGTCTTGAGCACAAGAATACACTATGTGTAGATGTTTTTGTTGTTTCTCAGCAGGTGTTGGTTGCCACACATATCCCCCAGCAGGACGTCTTTCTCCGGCTTCACCACGAGAAAGGCGCCATGCTAAAGAACCAGATGTGCGACCCTTAATCAAAAAATAAACAAATAACAACATGGCACCATGAGAGTACCATTGGAACTCTACAAAACAAAAAAAAGATAAATATCGACAAAAAAATTGGCATAAAACAAAGTCAATGTTCACATTCAATAAGAATGGGTCAAGTTGAACATTATTACAAAGGTATTTTTTCAAGTTTATTATGTGGAAGGAAGATCAATGACAATAATTGACATTTTAAGAACATTATAAGCAAAACATAAAAATTAAATATGACTAGTGTGTTTTCCTACAGAATCTGAATATTAAATATTGATAGAACATTAAATGACAGTGATTTTCCCACAATTGCTAACTTTGGCTCTCTAGTCACAGAAGAGTAGGTTTCTAAATTTAATTTAAATATAATGTGAAAGTAGCTACCCTTAATTAAAAAAAGTGTGAGAACTAGTTATTTAATGCTATGTTGGAGGCTGTGAAGTAAGGAATAGTAAAGCAAAGGGAATTAAAAAAAGAGAATACCTCATATATTTCATCATCAGGTTTTTGAGGAGTCATAAACTCAACAAGTTCCTTTACCAAACGACGTGTTGTATACTGTTTTCGAGCTTTGGATAAATACTGTTGCCTTTCCTGTCGTATAGACACCAACTTTTCCAATAACTGCACTTCAGTACACTCTTGTCTTCGAGATAGTACATCATCATGTTTACGAGAATATCTCCAAGTTACATCCTGTATATCATCGTATGAATATGCTATTACATAAGACAATTTTTTCCCCCAACCTTCTTCATACATCAGTGGACGGTCACACACATTTTCACATGGGTCACAATGTAACCAACGATCTTGAGACACAGAGAACACCTACAAACAATAAGGAAAATATTTTATATTTTAAATATGGGCATTTAAGAACCAACATTTGATTTACTTGCTATTCCATAAGTTAGAGACTAAAAAAGATGAGAGATTTTTGTACCTCAGTCCACACATGATCTGTGACATCAACAACATGACGAGCATCCCATCCCATGGCACGACATAAGAGAGTAAAGCAGTTTGCCCATTCTCCACAACGTCCTTTTCTAGTTTCCAAAAGAATCCAAGGATCTTCATGGCGGATGAATTCTGTAGATTTATGACATTTTTCACACTTATAAACCTACGAAAGCAAGAACGATCATTACAAAACTAAAGGAAAAAACAAAAATTTAATCAGAGTTACATAAAAAACTAGAAATTTACTTCACCTCGACCTTCACAGGTGGTATTGTGTCGATATTTCTGGAGGAACCAGAGAATTTGGTCCTTCCGTTACAATATTCACAAGCTGGTGAGTCGACCCAAGTAAAGAAAATATTCTTAAACCAGGTTAACAATTCAATTAATAGCAAGTCTTTAATTTCAGGGAGCTCATCGTCCTTCATTTTCTTTTCTCGAACTTCTTTCTGAAGAAAACGCATTTTCTCAACCGCTGCATTTTCTAGTTCAGATACAGGAATGATGCTAAGTGCTTTCTTCTGCAGTTCTGCGTTTTCATACCGCAAAACTGCTTCGGAATATTTTCGCAGATTATCAAGAAACCCCATCTTACGAGCAATTGAAAATGATTTAACTGTACCACGCGGCACAAAAACCACCGATAAATGTTTTCTCGTTGTAAAACTAGCCGCGTTGACTCAAAAGTGAGCGAAATCGTCAAAAAAGAACTTCACATTATTTGAAATACAATGCACTTTTTTTATGTTCAATAAATCGATAACAAGTATATCCATAAATCCTACGTTCAACTTCACTTGCTCTCTGAGTGGCCAATACGTTATCCAGCGTACTCCCACATCAGCTGACTTCTTAATCACGTAGGTGTCACCGCCTACTTCCCGATAAGTGTCGCGACTCGCCGGGCAAGAATGTCAGCATGACAGAAATCCAACTTCGGCAGGCGTTGCGCATTACGATGCTCAGCTTTCAAAGGCAACGTACTGCACCTCCTTTGAAAATGAGCGCGAATTAATTCATTACAGCTGCTGTTCAATTAGCAGGCAAAATATATTGGTGTAAGTACCTACCCTTTGGAATCAACCATTGATCGTTATTTCTCCAAAGTCATTAAAGGACAACGTTAACATATTCTTTCTCAAATGATATCTTGCCTTAGCTGTAAGGGTACGGTGTGTGATTATTCGAGTAAATTTCATTGGCAAAGAATCACTTGTATAATGAACAGAAAATATTCCACGATTTTTGTAGTTGTGAGATTGTGTTTGGCCACATCCACAGCCCTAAATGTGGAGGACACTGGGAAACTAATACAGTCTCTGCAGACACGGTATAGAAGCGGCTGCCTTTTCCTGTCTGTGGCCTTCAATAAAGGTATTTGCCACGTTTCACCATGTGATCAATATTTTCGGACCGCAATAAATTAAGAATGAGATTGAAAAAAGTGTTATTTTTCAGAAGTCGAACTTTCCTAGCCCATACATTAATTATAGACTTATTATAGACAGACTTGGAGCGATCCGATTAGGTGCGGTAAATGAGTCTTGACTTCTTGAGTGTCCGGGTGAGACCGCGTCGTTCCCTGAGAGGCTGACATCAGGCAATCACTGCCAATGCGACGCTGTGCCTCTGGTGTTATGTATAGTACGATTTATTTAGTCCTGTACTTGACGTAAATCAGCTGTTGCTGTTTCATCTAGTCAGGAGCTTATATGTCGCTACAGTGAGATCAGTAAGGGAACGTTCAAGCTCCCAATTGGATGAAACCGTGAACAGTTGATTAACATCAACTGCATGGATAAATAAATTATAGTATACTGTCGATCATGAGTACTCGGGAGAGGCAGGTTGGAGGAGTTGCCCATCTGATTGGCTAGCGGTCTGGGCCAATCCGGGCCTCGCGCCAGTCGTCCTCGTGGTCGGACGGCATTGAGCAGCCGCCGGACAGTGGCGGAATGGTGGTACTAGGTGTTTCCAGGAGTGTTTTTGATTGAGACTTGCGTCCGCGTTGATGTTGTGCTAATGTCCATTGACATCCAGTGCCTCTTTGAATGGTCTAGGTCAGTAGTGGTTTTCCCTGTGCAGGAGTGGGGCACCTGGGAGTGGTGTCCTGTAGCCGAACGAATCATTATAACAAAAACCGCACTAAACGGTCGGCCATAACGGACATATGCTAAATTTTAATCGCAATGAGCTTCTTAAAAAAGACTTTAAGAAGATTTTAAATTGAATTGAAGCCTTATTTGACGTGATGAGACTCGGGCCATTAGGCCCGCTCTTCCGTCTGACCACGCAAATTTCGCTACGCTCCTTTCACCAACTAGCGGAGAAAGGAGGTATTTGTTGGAAGAGGAAACAGGCGATTTGAATTGAGCTCAGAGGCTTCATTTAGGCTTGAGGATCTTTTACATGCAAGTAAATCTACTAATATGGGACAGCCGGCTTTACTTCCCCTCCGAAGGAAGGCGTAAGAAGGATTTGTTTTCGCCCTTAAAGATCCACGGCTTCGATCGAGTTTGAACCCGCGAACTTGGGTATAACAGTGTGATACGCTAACCGTTACACCATTAAGCTTTCTAACGCGTTTTTCTACTGAAGTGTCTCGTGACAGTGCCCAGCGGGAGGCCCGAGACGCCGACCCAGTGCCTTGTCGTCAGCGGGGCGTTGGTTGCAGAGGTCCGAACTCCCATCGCCCATTATTTCGCACTTATGATTTATCAGTCTATCGAGCGCGTCAGCACTCGTGCCGTTCGACAACTATTCCAAATAACGAACATGACAGGAACGTGCTACTTGGTCCTGATGAGTCAGAAACACACAATAATCCAGGTAATTTTCGTGGACTTATAAGATTTAGTGTAGGACTAGATAGTGCGATGAGAAACCATCTAGAAGCATCAGCGTTTAAAGGCACTTCAAAAACGATCCAGAATGAAATCTTCATGTGTACCCTTGAAGTGTGTCACAAGGAAGATTGAGAGATTGCTGCATGCTACTTATGCCGGCATATAAGCATGCTAAATATATTCATTACTATGCATATCAAAATATAGTCTTGTTAAAAGCATCTTCTGTGACTATATGTGTTCCAATATCTTTTTCTAATCTTCAAGGTGTCTGCTCTTTCTTTTCCAATTCCCCACAAAGAATATGTTTTAGAGGAAATTGTTCAAAACGTTTAACAAGATCAGTACCTACCAGATGGAACTTTCATCCCAGATCTGTGAGTACTATTTTCGAGTGTAGAGTGGAGTTGATTGAATGAGTGAAACAGATTCAACAAGAGAACAGAATAAGCAGCAGCTCCGTGTCTTGAGCTTATGTATTCATTGGTGTCGTAAATTATTAATTGGTTGACTTTCCTTTACAAAATCATGAAACGTGTTGACATTTCGTTCAGTCAACGTTATATGCGGGATTGTACTCCATCAATTGTTCACATAAAGCAAAGTATTTGACTGGGAAGTTCTTATAATCAGAAGCGACAAATGTTCCACCCGCTGATGGAGAAGCTCTGTGTTTTGTCTGGATTTGACGCAGATCCAGGAGAACCATTGGTCTTGGATCAGCTCCTGGCCGGAGGACGCATGTCTTTGGCTGGCTGCACGATTTTTGTGCTCTGTGGTAGCTCGCTAAATTATGAAAAGTGAGAAATCCACAGCAAAACTAATTTGGGTAAGATAACAATGGAAAGAAGGGGTACAATGAGTGGTTAAGAAGACGACACCCCCAGCCCGCCACCTTGCAACCCCCTGAACCAAAGACAAACAAATGACATTGACCGTGACATTTGACTAATCGAACAATATTCAAATGCATTCGATAAAATGATGAGGATTCAGGGAATCCCTTCATCCTCCCCAAAAGGTTCTTCAACCAAAGCAATCCCAAACGGTACAGAGCAGCTTTCCCCTCTCAAATAAGTTCAGATCACTTCCAATCGACCCCGATGCTGAAACAGATTCGCACGAGAGCTCCTGTAACAAATGCAAATCGGAGAATCTAGCTCCGTTTAACCCAGCAAAGCGAGAACTAACTCGTGCAATAATGCACGTGACAACGCGCCGAGATATTTTAAATTCCCCTCCGCAGGGAATTTTTACTTAGAGAAGGCAGAAATAGCAGATCCGGCAGGTCTTGCAGCGCACCGACGCGCTTTCTACAGAAAAGCTCCTTAAGAAACCTTCAAAAATCCCTCGACTCCTTCCGCCTTTCGGCCTCCCAAAATTCTATTAACATTAACCCTTCCAAATCCCAACCATCGTATTTCCTATAAAATATATCCATCAAATCCACCCCTTCGACCATAAATCAAACCCCTATCCCATGGCAACCCCATGTCAAGTATCTTGGCATTACCCTTTCCCGCAGACTGCTTTGGTCCAAACACGTCATCAACACCACAATAAAAACCAACTGGATTACCAACGCCTTTTACCCTATCCTGACAAATCTATCTATCCCCATCCCATGGAAAATCCAAACCTACAATACCTATATCCGCCCAACTCTTTCCTACGCCCATCCCACCTGGTTCAAGAATCTATTATAAACTACAGAAAATTAACAGACACTGAAAATCGACTAATCAGACTGATCTTTCGTCCCCCTCCCTTAGCCCGCTTCAAAGGCCTACAACAACAAAACAAACTGCCCCATATCTTCTCACCCATCTTTACAACTCCTCCGTACAAAAGTTCATCACCAATCCTCAGTTTAAAAATCTTATCCTACCCCACCACCATATCATATCATAAGAAATCGCTCCCCGGCACCCTCGTAAAAACACCCCCTGGACATCCTGCAACTCCCTCCTCCCATAACCTAGCCCAAAGGGCGAAAACCTAACGACAAAGTCATATAAACGACCGACACACTATTGACTCACTATGAAACCAAGACGAACCGGAGAACAATATGCCTTTCCCCTCCCACATCCATTCCTCCATGCGTAAGCCCCCTAACAAGACAACCCGTCACTTCACCACCCACATTCCTAATCCCCATCCCCGTAAGGGGAGAGGGGCCGCAACGCATCAGCAGACGAAGAGTCCCACTAAGAGGCAGGCGGACCACTCTCGCACATCCTGCTTTCTGTTCTGTTCGGCAGAAAAGCTATCTACGCGCAAATCAAGGCGCAATATCTAGTCCTTCACCCCGGCGGCGTGGAGGACCGCCACCAGGACCAAAGACAAAATGCTACAGGCTACACAAACCCACTCCGAACTTTGCTCTTACGTCCACAGAGCCACCACAGAACGCCACAAACGCTTAGTCAAAGGCCTCGATTCAAACTTGCAGTGCGAGCAAGGGACTGTGGTTCACCACACCCTCCAAGGAGTAGGACTTTACACGATGGAATTTAATCTGTCGCAAATCGCAGAGCTGAAGAAAATTCAATCTCTCCAATTCTTGAGGATTAGCTTCGACGGCTGCGCAATCACGATCAAAATCCCATTATGCCTTATCTGCTTGTTGTAGAATGGTTGTAGAAGGACGGAACGTTGCATCGGTTGCGCAGGCCAGCACAGTTCTTCGCAAGGCCCAGCGCAAGACAAGCTTAATACACAACAGAAGTGTGCCAACTACTCAGGCCCGCACGAAGCAAGCTACCGTGACTTCACTTAGAAGCCATGCGCATTCGTAACGCACAACTGCAACGACTACGTACCGCCCTCAGCCCGTCCGCTCGCGGGCAGCCTGCGCACCTCACAAATCCCGCTACAAGCGCCCCAGCGTGGTGGGTTACCCCCAGCCAATCAGTGACAGGACAGCAGGCAGATCAACCAATTATAGAACAACCTTCCTCCGCCTATGTCCACCTATAAGCTGTCTTATGGAACCAAACCATCACAAACAAAGACCTTTACTTCACAGTCCCATTAGAACCTTTTCCAGTTACGTGCCTCCCAAATACGGATTTGAACTCCTGCATAATCCCTGAACACCGTCTAACGTTTTAAGAATGTAATGTTTCTCG